GATCTACTCGACCACCATTATGGTTACCGCCAAAAAAAAAAACCGAGGTAAACAAAAAAAACGGTAACCTGGGTGCCGAGCTCACGAAGTGAATTGGCTTGTTTTACAACGTCTTTGCCAAGCGACGAAAACCCAACCCCGATGGCAAACACCAGGGGGGGGCGGGGGTGGGTCAATATTCGCCTCAAAATACTTTTGTAGCATCGGCAACTCTTGGTCGCTTTACACGGCAGTGCCCATGCCGCTGTAGCCTAGGTGTGTCATTCCGCTTTGTAGAATGTGCAACTTGGTCACCACGTCAACGGACCGGAGGACCCACGCAAGCAGCACATGACCCGCTGTGCTCGGGGTGTTCAGGGATGCTCTGGGTGTGCTCCAGAAGTATCAAGTTGTGACGTACGGATCACTAAAAACGTGCCCGTGGCAATGGCGTACCAAGAGCGTTAAAGTGGCAACACCAAGCAATTACTCCATATCATTGTACAATACATGGCCACGATGAAAGACGACTGGTACAACGTCGTGGGTGTACTACACGCAGCAAGTAGAGCGGGTGAACTCCTGACTTTGCTTGTAGACTGTGGCGCCAACAACGATTAGGGCGGTGGCCTGTGCGGGTGGATTGCTGGGCACGGACTCATAAAGTCATTCTGTACAGGCGCTAAAACAAAACGACAAGCCACCAACCAATGGGGCGGGAGAGGGGCAGGAGACGGGCGAGACGGCGAGGGAAGAAAGCAAACGAGAAGAGACGGACCGAGTGGCGCGATACGTGCCGGATTGAAATTATTTTGGCCTATTCCCCCCCCCCAACGCTGCACCATTGCACCAACCCCCCACGAGTGATGACGTACCATTACAATGCATCGCTGGTTGGTGGCCATGTTTGCGTGTTTGCTTGTCGTTGGTGGTCTCTCCACCGTGTGCCTTCTTCTGTCTCGTATTTCTTGTTATTTTCGGCCTGGTCCCTTTTTGTCCTCGCTCTTTTTATTTCATTTGTTCTTTCCTTACTGTTTCCTTCTATTTTCTTCTCTTTTTCTCTTTTTCTCTCTTTTTCTGTGCCAGATGGCCTTGCGTTGTGACGTACCAAGATTGAACCAAGGGGATGTACCTTATTCTCTCCGGCCCGTGATGGTGATTCCTATTAGTCTCAGTTGTTACCTCGCATAGCGCGCAGAGGGAGTGGAGGACTCCAGAGAATCTGTCGTTGATTTCTATTGACTTGCGGACCCCTCGGGACCATTTTACTTGAGTGTACCTTTTTAGGGTAAGTTAGGCTGAGACCAGGGGAATCGACCGCGTCGAGTGTTGGATCAGTACGGACATACGAAGGTACTGGGTAGAGAGAGATCGGAACGTTTTTTTAATGTGAAGACAACAACAACAACAACATTGAATAGCGCCGGTCGATGCGCCGGGCAAGTATGCATACCGGTGATACGTTTTGGGCCCCCCATCGTTGTATGCGTAGCATGTATCATACATAGCTCGTGCTGTAAAATTATGTCTCCTGCTGCACAATGTACAAGATACTCGTACGAAAGACAGTAGTGGTACCATTTGACCTTGATGATTCCGGACGACCCAACATGCTGAGAAATATACGCATGCAACGGTGAATATCATTGCTATGGCTTGAACCACAACGGTGTTTTGGCAACCTCACACTCCAGTATATGTAGCAAAGCCAGGACGCTTATCATGCACAGACACCTATCGCCAAGTTAGCTCCACTCAGCAGGTACAGCAGTACCGCATTTACCACGGAAAGACTACCAATTCTTGTCTACTGCTGTCTTTGGCGGTTGATGCTAAAACAGGAAAGTGGCTGCTGTCCTTCAATACACGCCCCAATGTCTTCCGAACTAAACGTCCAAGGACCGGAGGGACGAAGACAGCATCCAACATCGTACCCACCATGATGACAGCCCTCGGTCTAGAGACGCTCCGCTTGTTGTTCTGACTCATGGGGTCGGCCATTGCCCGACACGACAACGGTCGTAGCGCAGAGCTGACGTGAGAAACTGCTCCGAATGCCTGTGCTGGAGTCCATTGCACCACCGCCAAGCCAGCTACTATATAGGCCTTCATCGCCATGATTGCCTGCTAGAGACTACAACAGCAACCTGCGTCCCCTGTGTCAGGGGTGCCGATCATGTGTCGGTCGACGCTGCTGTATGTCAACTTGATGTTGTCGTAGTACGGACAGCAGCACGTTATTTTTTTTTCTTAACCCCCACCGCAAAACTACAAGCAGTAGACCACCGCCGTCTTGCATACCGTCGGAAAGTACAACGAACCTCGGAAACAGCAAGGAAGAGCCCCAGCCGGGCTACTCACAGCCGTTCAAACCTCGAGTGACCCCCACCTCCCTACCTCCACCACACACAAACCTCGGACGGGCGCGCGTGATCAGAGAGGATATAAAAGCTTTTGGTGAGCACGCATCCAGCGCCGGCGGGGTTTCTTCCGCGCAACGATGGTTGTGATGACAACGTGAGGGAGGCTTACACACAATGAGTACTGAGCTTGAACGAGTGTTCGCGCCGCTAGTGCTGTAGAATGCTTTAGACGACGATACGCACAATTTCTTTGCAGTGCTCGTCCGCGAGCCGTGCATTCCTCCTTGTAGCAGCTAGGTTTCGGTTGATGCTACCAAGCAAAAGCGAGAGGTGATGGTGGTAGGCGGTAGCAGCAGCAGCAGCAGCGGTGGAAATTGGGTGATGCAACCCCATAGGAAGAGCTCGTGCGTGTGACGGAGAGAGCAAAAGCCAAGAGACGTATGGCACAGCAGTCGACAGTAAATGGAACAATTCAGCAGCGGGAGACAAGCCACCGCTGATGATCACGGGACGAAAGAGAAAACACGCATGAACAAACCGACACAAGGCCACCCGAAGCGGCCAGAAGCGGCCAGAAGCGGCCGAGGGCCAGTGCGCTCCATCCCCTTTCCCTGAAAAAGAAAGCCTTCCGCTTTCAGGCGGGCCTTTCATTTTTCGCGCCGCGTTTTCTGGAATATTCCCGGTCGTATTTCGCGCCGCGTTTTTCGTCTTAACGCTGCCGTAGACGTTGCCCCCACACCTGCTGTTCTCCTCATATCCCAGCTCTGTTTATTTCCGCTTTTCGAGAGAAGGACGACGTAGCAGTGGGACGGCGTCACTCTCCTCGCCATCTCATCAAGCTCTACCCAGGTCTGATGCCTCGTGTATCCGACTTGCTTTCGGGTCCACGTGTTTTTCCCCCGACGGGAGTGGAGACTGGTGTAGACGTCATGCCATCGCCCTAGCTGGACGTCTAAATAGACTGCTGTTCAGAACACGGGCCAATATTTTTGTGATCAACCCGCCGACACGAAGCTGCTGCTGTTTTGCTGCCGTGGAGAACTGTTGTTCGTCGGCAACACATCAAGCGCTGTGACTTGTTTAACGCACCAACTCCGTCTCTGACTGGACAGCAGCAAGCAAGATCTGCTGCTGTGTGCCTTTTGCCGAGTGTTGACCCTCTACCGCCCTTCTTCCTCGTTCCGCTCCTGTCTGCCTGTGTCGACGGCGGCATCCAGGCGACACCACATGTTCCGCCTGCTCGGCACCGGCGCGCGAGGCAGCACTGCTTCAGGTTTCCGCAACTCGCCCAGGTCGGGAATAGGAGGGAAAGCAGGAGGGGGGCCGGCAACAACTGCTCTATTCTGCATCTCGGCCCTTTGGAGCGTGGGCCAAACAGTTTCTTTCGCTACTGTCAGGACACCTCAAGCCATGTCTACTGCCGTTGATGTGAGTTTGCTGCTGTATATTGCGCTGAAGTCGTCCATGACCCAAAAACCATGGGCCCCATATTTTGTTGATGCATGGAGCGGAGTTTTTTTCCCAACCCCTGCTGCAGTGGACGCCACTGCTCCTTCCATGGTACACAACGTACATGTAGTCTATGGAAGTCTTTGGGGAGGTTTGGTGGAAGTTTTGATTTGCTTGGGGGCGGCAGCGTCTGCTTGCTTGATTGTTGTGTGCCACGCACGTCGCGTACATTACATACATGAAAACCGGAGAACTTCATGAACCCTTGGTTTCTTTTGCTGTGGTCGTCCATCGCACGAGAGGACGAGAGGGCACACGCGGCAATGCCGCCCGACCACGTAATTTCGAGCGAGGTGTTGGTCGCACTGGCATTAACCTCCTCTAGATCGCTGGTCTACCACATCAGCACACTGTTTTTTTTTGCGAGATATATGTGGTCCGTTGTCGAGGAAGAAGTTGCATAACGGAGACGGCAGTTATCGAAGTACGTCTATCACGTGTTGGGTCGTCAGCTCAAGAGAACGGAAGTACCCCCGTTGCCGCCTTGGGCCCAAAAGGCACACAATTGTTGCCCCGGTTGAGGTGAACAGGGCAACAGGGCAGAACCGTGCTCAACCCGTAGAAGATCAATTTCCGATGCATATTTTGTTCATGTCGCCACAAACCGCAGGATAAATTACTTGAGATGGTGCTCGGATCGAGCTTTTGGGTTGCGCGTGTTTCAAACAGACACAACACGAGATGGCCACCAAACTATACAGACTGTCTCGTTTGAGCCTGTTACAAGTCCACAGGCTAGATGATGCACCGACTGTACAACAGCAGTGTGCTGCTGGAGGAACGATAAGGAATACAGGTTGGTCATCACTTGTACTGCTAGTCTCCAAACACCCTTGTCTGATTGAGATTGTTGTATTTACGGAAGAATTTTTAAGACTCTCCGCGTCGTGCTTCCCGACTCGCCGTTAGTCGAAAACTGGCGGTCTCCTCCCGTCTCTTGTACATACAAGTACGGCGTGGTGAATATGCCGCGGGGTCGACTCAATCCCTTGCAGTAGTCTATTTGCGGTGCCGTGCGCGACGAGCTGCTTCCAGACAACCACACACTTCGGCAAATTTACAAATACGTATGTATCCAGAACACTCGAGCGAATCTGCAAGAATGACTCGTGCATCCGCTCCGGCTGGAGGGTCGAATTCCACCGAGCCAGCCCTGACCGTTCTTTCGCATGGACCGCCGTTTGTTTTTTCTGTTTTCTCATGTTTTCGCTTGCTGGAGGCAGCGTCGTTTGTTTGCCTCCATTGTCCTCCGCCCTAATGCTGTTTGGCGAAATATATCACACCTATCGTTCTGAGTCGCATATAGCGACTGCTGTGTTGACAGCACGAAACTCCTCAACTCCGCTCTCTGCTGCTGATGCTGCTGTATCAAAGACCCCCCGCTATCCTAATTTCAAAAGAAGAGCCCCCCCCAGGGCTTCGAGAACGTCGAAGACATAGGACGGTAGACGACGAAGACGAAGAGTTCAAATGTGATTGCGGCTTCGAATGCGAACACCGTGTTCATGTAGTCGCGGAATGTCCGTGGTACAAGAAGGAGAGGTGTACGTGACTGAGCTGGGAAAAATAGATGGGACGTACAGGGAGATATTTGAGGCATGGAATAGAGAGGAAACGACGGTAGCTGTACTGCGGCACAGCAGGTGGGTTGAAAAGGCGGGAAGGGATATCGTTAGGATAGACTAGGGAAAGACACTTTTGAGCCATCTTTGGCAAAGAAGAAAGGAACGATTGGCCATCGGTGATCGGTCCTGTGAGAACAATGCTCCGTCCTCTCGAGGACGCGTGGTCAATGGTCTAACCGCTAAGGCATGCAAAACATAAGAGTACCCCCCCCCCCATCCCACACATCCTGGACAAAAGACCACGTTGCGAAGTCTAATGCCGTCGATAATAGCGCTGTCCATCGGTGGATATCTCACACAACAGAGTTGTTGTTGTTGTTGTTGTTGTTGTTGTTGTTGTTGTTGTTGTTGTTGTTTTTCTTCACATTAAACTCGTGTCAGTTGCTAATCCCAAAATCTAGCAAAGACTCGGTCCGTGCTCACAAAAATGCTAGAGCCATCAGAAGATATAAAGAACACAAACACTATTAGCAAGAAAAGGGTACGCAGGCCCAAGGAGGTACACCTGCAATCCCTGCAGCACGTTTGCATGCTCACAACTGTACTACACGCCCACACACTACAAATCGATTACAGCAGCAGCATCACCCCCCTTGTCCCGCATTTACCCAAAATGAATGTTTGTCGACTACAGCGTACTGCTGTCTGATTTGCTGTCTGTACAATAATAACACCATGGTGCATGGTACACAAGCTCGGGGCATGCAGCTGCTGTCTGAAGTGCTGTCAAGAATGAGTCTGTGGACATACAATGAAGAACACCCAACCAAAGCCATCATTGCAATTGATAATCACCCGAATCTATCCAGATCATCTGTGTTAGGCACAGCAGTGTGAACATCGACACTGACTAGGGATCGTTCCACA